TTTCGAGGACTCTTAAATCTGTATATCTTACGACATAAAATATCCCCCTTAAAACGATGTGTCATAATCTCTGACCCGCGAATTATGTAAACGAGTATCGCGGCCAATAGTCACAATCGAATGCGGCGAATTCCCGTTTTCGGAGAACTGGATTGCAGGTAATAACGTTAATGCCACTCCTCGCCAATATTATCTCTATCACCGTGGCGCTACTACAGTTTGATCTCGGGTAGAAAGAAAAAAAAAGGAGGGGAAGAAAAAATATTATTACCCGGGGAAGTTTGCCAATATCGAGTCATTCTGCAATGCTCGTCACGCGTGCAGAGAAAACGTCCGCGCCGTTTCATCGAGGCCGCAGGCGTGTCTTTATGACCCTCCCGTTCGAGTCCGAGTGCACGAGGATCGTAAATATTTAACGTGGCTAAATAATGGGACACACCAATCCGTAACGAGTGATTGATATCACTCTGGCGTAACAATGCCGCGTGCGCGGGCGTCGTGCCCTTGCTACGCCGACGAATTTCGGGTAGTATTGGCCCTTTCGCTGCCGATTAATTTCGGCCTCGGTTGCGCTGGAGGGATTGACACACCAAACGGTTTGAGAGGAATAGTTAATATTTGCTTATGAGTAGGTCGCGTCGACCGCGTCGCCGGATGCAAATTTAGCGGCCCAGCTTTGCGGCATATTGTTTGTCCAAATGTTTGGAAATCGTATAAATGGAGAGAATAAGATCATCATCTCTCTGAAGTATCGGTCGTGGAGATTCGAGAATTTACATGTATATATATATATATACATATATTATAATATGATAAATGAAAGTTAGAATCCTGAAAAGAATAATAAACGTTGTATAACGTAGATTCTTAAATATCTTTGAAACGGTCACGGGCGAATATGTCAAAGGCGTAATGACTTTTGAGTTTATCATGGGCGTAATTAATTGTCGCTCTTGGCTGCTGATGTATACGCAAACATTTATCCCGGAATTTTCCCTACGTCGTGCTATTGTTATCGCTGCGATTTTACTTTGCTTTACGCGAAACTCGAATCGCTAACCGCATCGCCGTTTGTTGTACGCGTTCAACGGTGCATCTCTAGATAAAGAAACGAGTGAGAAACAAGCGAGGAGTAAGGCAAGCGTAAAAAGAAAAATATCCTTGGTGGTACGGGATGGCGAAAAATGGCCCGATGGTTTTACGAATGGAAATACGCATAAGATAAAGGAAAGGATGAAGAATAGCTCAAATTTCAACTTCAACCGGTTATAAATCTTGGTTCGCGGGAAAATCTGCGGCTAGTCGAAATTAACGGTGAAAGAGGGAAGGAAAGAGGAAAGAAAAATTCGTCGACTGCGTTACGGGGAAAACGAGTTTAACGAATCGATCGCCTGGCGAACCGAGGGCCGGGCGCTTTGGCCATCGTTCAAGTTTTTATCCGGAAATAAACTTATCCACACGATCAGTTACTGAAATTTTAGCCACGTGAGAACTTAGGTGAGAACGGAAGAAGGAGGGATAAATCGTCGAGGTAGAAATGCGACGCGGATGTCGAGGGCGCAAGCACGTGTGCCTTGAATTTATGGCGGGTCGACGGGCGAGGCGAGTTCCGCGTGGTTGAAAAATTAAGAAAAGGCGAGACGAGATGCAGATGCTTGTGACGTCGGGTGTCGCAAATTTGGCGGCGCGAGCAGGGGGATGAGGCGACACTGCGCCGTGACACGGAGATAAAGACTGCAGAAATATGGACGCGGATGGTTCTCGTTACTTCGTAATTTTAAGTACCTGAATGTACACGCTCGTCTTTCACGGCACGGCTGAAATACGTCGGACGTTTTTGAAAGATGCTAGGCGAGCGACAAATCGTGACGTGCTCCGTTTCGCGAAGAATTTCGATAAATTCCTATTTTATTTCGCTATTTTTTTTTCCGCTAAAAGGGATTGCTGTGCATAGGGTAAAGTGGTATTTATCGCGATACGAAGCCGTTTTAGGCGAGCCGTTTCGTAAAAAAGGGAATGAGAACGCGTTGTATTGAAATATACGAAAGATGTATCGAGGATCGTGCGGTGGCGTTAATGCAGCGCTCGAAAAAAGCGACAAGTCCAGAAGATTCATGGAATTTCATTGTATTGTATTTCGCATACGTTTGATACCCATGTGCGAAATGAATAATGGTTTCTTAAATCACCCGAGATAATAGAGCATCAAGCGGTGATTTATGTCGCGAACTTACAACGCCAAGTACATCTTGTGAAATTAACATTGTCTATCATATCGGACGTCCATTTCGTAATATCTCGGATTTTATTACGCGTCAAATTTCTTTCCGAGCGCCATCTCCAGTGCGTGAAATTTTTGTCGCCCTGCTACAAACGTATGCGAACGCATTATTTAGAACAATAACATGCGCTTCGCAGAGTCGCATTTACATTTACTCTAGAGTCATATTCCGAGCTTGTGAATTTTTGCTGCCGGTTACACGACATTTTTCTCATTCTTATGTAGGTTGAAATTCGTATCTTTTTTCGCTTTAGAGTCACCCAATCGGAGAATAGATGGCAGATAGAAAGCGATAGAAAGAGGTACGGCGCTGTTTTGAAAATTCAATAGCACCGTGAATTCTAGCTTTCCAAAGGGCGACCTTTCTTCATTCACCCTCGCAAACTTATCTCTTTTACCTCTGCGTTAAAATTCTCCGCTGCGGCGAAATCTTTCGAGGGCGTAAATTCATTTGAAAAAAATTCGCTCGTTAACGCGATTGCATTCGTGTTTATTTTACTCTTCTTTTTCGTCGCTAAAATAAATGAATTTTTCATTTTTGTGTTTTCGCGATTTTAATTACTGCACCCGTTTCCATACCGCTCGATTCAGCGGTATAAAGCTGCACAGTGACCACGTTCCCGAAGAAGAAAAGGAAGCTTAGCAGACGGTTGTCCTGAAGCTGATCCACCAAAACTTTATTTTTACGCGCCGCTATGCACTTTCGGCGGCAACGGACTACATATTGCATGACGGCACTGGACCAAGTGCCTATGCATTTTTCATAAGTCATCGGACGATCCTTTACTCCGGAGCTTATTTAACTTGCCGCTATCTCTGTCCGAGCTCCGGTGTTTGTCCTCCCGAGATATTTTCCCAATTTCCTCGGCGACAACGACAACTGTTCGCTCCCGTGTAAACGTCGGTTTATTCTTCAAAACCTCTCCGTGAGAGGTCACGAACCACGTGGCAAGATTTATGATCGCGCTTCCCGTGGTCCTCCTCATTGTCGAGAGGAATCCATCCTCCCACGATCCCCGTATCCTATAAGAAACGCCATCGACATAGTCAACCGACCTCCTCGCCCCTCCCCGTCCCGCTCTCGGTATCGCGCTCCTTCTTCTCTCCTCGTGATTCTCGCACTTTCCCCAGCACTTCCTTTTGTTCTCCGCATAAGCTCGTCGGCCGCATTTGTACGTCGGCCGTATCCCGCGGAATGCGGAACGGATCGATCGGGAAGACGTGGCGCGTCTCTACTCTATCCACCTCTACTTACCACTCGACTCCCTTTAATCGTCCTTGACGCTCTCGCTCTGTCGCGGACTGGATTTTCCCCGCTCTTATCCAACGACCATCTGACGCTCTCCTTAATATCGGAGAACAGGAGATCCGAAATTCCGATAAATCCGTGTACCAATAATGCCACGTCGTCGGCGGTCGTCCCCGGTAACTAAATCCAAGTCGCTATCGCATTTCGCTCCTCGTCTCGCTTTATTGTCTCCGCAACACGCCGCATCATTACAGAACATCACTCGCGTCAATCAAGCCGAATTTTCGACGTGAATCATATCCTCTCGTCCCCGTCTTAATCGCATCTGCCGCGACGTGTGAAGATCGCCCCGGGCGCGACCTTTGCCTCTTTTAACTTACTCACACTTGACGCTCGCTTTATTTCAATCTGATATTCCTCTCTCTCTCTCTCTCTCTCTCTTCCGCTTTTCGTATCTTTAATTCCGCTTTAATATTCGATGGAAGTTTTACGATGATGATTAATTGATCGCCATTATGCAAAAAATGTAGATTACCGTGTTCTTTCCGTCCCTTTTTCACGTAAGTTCATTCAATTTTTAGGCAAAAATGACCTGTTCCAAATGACGCCAGGTACCTTTTTCTTTATTGATCGTTAGCTTTATTCCACTCGAATCATCTTGAATATGAAGATTTAGGTCGTTGAAGTTTGAAAGCGTCAAGAGCGTCGATGATTGCGATTGAAAAGATTATGATTAAAAAGTGGATCCAGGGATAACAATACAAGAGATTCACGAAGCAGATGCAACTTTGCTCATTAATATTCGACGATCGCTTGCCATTACGGTACTCAGCATTTAGTAAGCTCTTCTATTATTTTCGTTAGCCCCATTTTCTTTTAGAATGTTGTTCGCGTAACTTCTGCTGGATATTCTATTATAGGAGTCAATAATAATATAACCTTTTCTATTACAATTAAGAAAAAATATGTATGTACGTTCATATTCTTTCTCAAATATCTCTCGCGCCTTTCTTCGATTCTATAATCCGGCGAAGATTACATTGATAATACGTGTATTGCAGTTGGCAAATTGTATTGCCGATCGCTTCATCGTGTAAGTGACGTAAAACGCTTATTAATATCGAAAAGCAGATTGCCATTATTCATCTCTCACCTGTGCTCAGTCATCGTCCCCGTCAGTATCTCCGAATTTTTGCCACGCCGTCTGATGCTGCGTTACGCAAGATTACCCGATACTCTCATGACGATGCCGCCATTCGTTAAGAAATCACACGCAAATGACGCCGTGTCCGGCGTTAAATCGACGATGCAATTTTGTTAGTAGCACGCAACGCTCGTTAGTACTCGATGCTGCTGCTTTTTGACATTTGAAAATGAATAATTTGCAATATTTCTAGGCGGTAGCATTACATCAAGTAACGTTACATAAAATCCGTGTTAATATTTACGTTCGACGATTGAATTTGTAATGACGAACGAATTTATTTTTTAGAGCCGCATCGTGTAAAAAAAAAAAAGAAAAGGATAATAATTGAATTATACTGTTATTATTGCGCTATTCATCGTTGTGAAATTTGCACGTCTCTCCCGATTCTTTTCGCGTTGTTGAAATACATACGAGCTCATTGTGACTCCGTGGAATTTTTGTTTGTAGTTGCACTCGTTACGCAACGTCGCACACAATGCACGATCAGTCCGCATTTGAATGCTTATTCCAGTTGCAATTTCCCTACTATTCCCACCCTCCTACCTCCATTCTTCCTCCCTTTTTCCTAATGTGGAGCAGCTCTGCAGTAAACGGAAATAACCCCGGAGAGCCTCGTTAAAATTCGGGCGACGTACTCGTGTCCAGTGTATTCGAATTTTATTCGTTACCCATATTACCATGACGTTACTTTGCCAACGAGAAAAACGAGGCAGGGTGGAAGAGCAACGTGATAAAAAAAAGAAAAACTGCTCTCGAGGCGAGAGAATGACCCGACAGGAAATCTCTCCCCGTAATTTATATATATCTTCATCGTTCGTATTAACAATTCATTTCTATCCAAGTTTTGCACGCTCTCTAGCTAAAAATGTAATCTGCCATGTTTCCTTGAAAGCTATACGATCTCTCCTCGAACGCTATACATCTATTGTTATATTAGCACCGAGATTCTCGAAATTGAATCGTTAACGAAGGGTGGAGGGATCGATTCACCAACGGGGAACGAGAACCGATCTTCTCCGAAAGCGAGAGATATAAGTATAGAGAGATAGAAATAGAGAGACGGAGAAAGAGAGAGAGAGAGAGAGAGAGAGTAGAAAAGAAGTAACAGAGACTAACTCTTCGACGAGAAGTCTTTCCGCAAAAATATTCGCAAATTCTCATCATCTCCGACGCCTTTTATACTCACATTATTGCCCATCTATTATACGTGCATGCCAAACCGCGCGGATGTGGACTTGCCTTTTCTCACAGAAAATCTTTTCTCATCTGCCGATTATCGAGACGAGCGGCTCGCTCAGCTCGCGCCGACAATTACAATAATGACGACGCCGTGGAGGCTCCCGATTTCGATGGTTCGCATGCCGCTCATGATGAAAATCGAGGTTACTCGCCGCCCAGGGAGAGCGCCTGAACGATCCTCGGATCGGCCTTGCTACCCTCCCGGAATTCCTCGAGCGTGAGCTTGTCGTCGTGATTCTTGTCCATCTGGTCGAAGATTTTGTCGACCCTCTTCTGCGGTGTATTCTCGTCCTCGGCTTGCGGCT